AATGAAGATGTTGAACAGTGCGGGCCCGAGGACCGAGCCCTGCGGGACCCCACTGCCCACATCCCTCCAGGTCGAAAATGACCCATCCGCCACCACTCTCTGGGTGTGGCCCTCCAGCCAGTTGGCGACCCAATTGACTGTGTGGGTGTCGACACCATAGTCCCCTAGTTTTTTAATGAGAACAGGGTGAGAGACAGTGCCGAAGGCCTTCCGGAAGTCCAGCAAGACTACGTCCACTGCTACCCATGCATCTAAGGATTTGGTGGCCTGGTTGTAGAAGGCCACCAGGTTGGTCTGACACTTGTGATGCAATTGACAGAGTCTTAAATAGTAATCTGGCCACATGTTCAGGCAATAAATGGTGTCAAAGAAAGGGAAACCAGCCACAAAAATTTTACACATTTTTTTTTTGTTTAATATATTTGTGGCTGGTTTCCACCACACTTTAAAACTGAATGTGTGGCAGGATTAGGACTGCACCTTAGTGTCTTGGGTTTTTCTCCCAGAATTTAGTTCATTATCCCTCAAGGTCTGAGAACTGTGATTTACAAGGAAAGGCTAAAAGAACTGGGATTATTTAGTCTGGCAAAGAGAAGACTGAGAGGGGGTGATAATCTTCAAATACTAATGGAAGAGTAGTTATAAAGAAGATGGTGACAGACTATTCTTTGTGGCCACTACTCCAGGACAAGGAGCAATTGTCTTAAATTTCAGCAACAGAAATTTAGGTTGGATATTGGAAAGAATTTTCTCACTATGCAGGTGGTCCAGCACTAGAAAGAGGTTGTGGAATGCCTATCCTTGGAAGATAATCAGCACAAGTTAAGCAAAAATTTACCTAGGATGATTTAGGTAGGGATGATCGCACCTGGAGCAGGGGAACAGACTAGATGACCTTCTGGCTAGGTACAGACATTTAAAAAGACTGAGGCGGAAGCACTCAAACCTACGCATGTTTCTGTAGATGCATTAGTTTAGGTCAGGAGCGACAGAACAGAAGTTTGCTATTTGGAGGGGGAGCATGAAACTGCCTGCACTGGCCAAGGCCAGAAGGGTCGGGGTTCTTAAGCACACCTTCCAGGCTGCTGGGGATTGCCAAGGACTGGTGAGTCAGTGACAGGCATCTCCAGCCCAGTCTGTTCCCTGTCACTGCCTGGCTCATGGGAAGCTTGGGGGTCTCTCAGCAGGTGTGCGGGAGCCCACCAAGACACCCCCATGACTCCTGAGAGTGGGCGCAGTGACAGGGAGCCACATGGGCTGCAGATGCCTATCCTGCTGACAGAGAAGGAAGAAGGGAGGGTTGGCCACAACAGTATGATGCCCCTACACAGCCCTGTAGCCACCCCCTGCACAGAAAGGGAGAGCACTCATTTTATTTTTGTTTCAAAACAGGAGCTGCCTTGGGCAGCAGGGAAACAGGAAGCAGCTGGGTCCACACAGGGGAGAAGGGAAAAAA